CTCCTCCCTCCCTCCCGCGCCTCCAGCTGGGCGTCCTGCTGCACTCCCGCGCCTCTTCTCCCGCGCCTCTTCCCACTCATCCTACTGCATTCCCGCGAATCTTCCCACTCTCCCACTCACTTCTCCCGCGCCGCTTCTGTCGTCCCTCTCCTCCCTCCCTCCCTCCCGCGCGTCTTCTCCACTCCTCCCGCGCCTCCAGCTGGGCGTCCTGCTGCACTCCCCGCGCGCCGACCTCCACGGCCGCAAGGGTGCCGGCATGGGCGTGGGGGGCAGCGGCGGCGCCTCGGGCGGGGGAGGAGGAGGAGGAGGAGGAGGAGGAGGAGGAGGAGGAGGAGGAGGGAGGAGGAGGAGGAGGAGGAGGAGGAGGAGAGGAGGAAGAGGAGCTTGAGGAGAGGAACGCGACGAGAGGAGGAGGAGCAGGAGGAGGAGGAGGAGGAGAAGGAGGAGGGGGGGGGGAGGAGGAGAAGGAGGAGCAGGAGGAGCAGGAGGAGCATGTCAGAGGAGCAGGAGCAGGATGCGGATGCCGCTGTCCTTCCCTAGCCGCCATGGCCGGGTTCGCCTCGAGATCCTGGTCAGAAGGCGGCCAGGGAGAGGTCCAGGGAACCGTGGCATCGGTATCTGTTTGCTTCCCCAGACGGCGGAGCCAGGAGGAGGAGGAGGAGGAAGAGGAGGAGGAGGAGGAGGAGGAGGAGGAGGAGGAGAAGGAAGAGGAGGAGGAGGAGGGAGGAGGAGGAGGAGGAGGAGGAGGAGGGGAGGAGGAGGAGGAGGAGAGCGAGAACGAAGAGAAGGAGGACGAGGGATGAGAATGACGACAAGGGAGGACCGAGGGGTGAGGAGGAGAGAGGGACTGAGATGGGGAGTTGGGAGGAGGAGGAGGAGGAGGAGGAGGAGGAGGAGGAGGAGGAGGAGGAGGAGAATGGAGAACGGATGGATGGATGGATGAATGAATGACGATGGTGATGAAAACGATAACGAATGCTATTCCCCTCCCTCAAGGAGAAGCAGGACCGGAATCTGAATACATCCCCGTTACGAAAGTTAATTCATCTTGGCTAAAATTGACATGTGTGGGCGCTGTGGTGAGAAGTGGTATGGGAGTGATTCTTCTTTGTGGTTTCATACGGGGAGAGATTCAGAGTTGCCTGGAAGTGACCGGGGGCGATTTCTCCCTCGTGAATTTACGGGGGAGAGATTTTATCCTGAATTGGTTATATACTATTAACATTACCAGGAAGAACCCCGGAAATCTCTCCCGCCAAGCCAGGCCGAAGACTGCCGTGCTAGGAGTCTACGGGGGGAAGGGGGGGCCACCCGGAGACGCCCTAGTCGTCAGTGCTCAAGATGAATAACTTTCGTAACGGGTAAGCGGTATCTTACATTGCACTTCTACAAGGGTGAAACCAGCGCTACCCCTTGACAGCAGCGCCTTTGGCCGCCACAGCGCGCTTGCACGAGGATGGCGACGTGTCTATTGAGCGCGATGCTGGGCCCCGTTCGGATTTCGAATTTGGGTTCCTCATGGCATTGGCTGACATTGACGTGTGAAAAAGTCGTGGGTCCTCAGCGGTATCTTACATTGCACTTCTACAAGGGTGAGACCAGCGCTACCCCTTGACAGCAGCGCCTTTGGCCGCCACCGCGCGCTTGCACGATGATGGCGACGTGTCTATCGAGCGCGATGCTGGGCCCCGCTCGGATTTCCAATTTTGGGTTCCTCATGACATTGGCTGACATTGACGTGTGAAAAAGTCGTGGGCCCTCAGCGGTATCTTACATTGCACTTCTACAAGGGTGAGACCAGCGCTACCCCTTGACAGCAGCGCCTTTGGCCACCACAGCGCGCTTGCACGATGATGGCGACGTGTCTATCGAGCGCGATGCTGGGCCCCGTTCGGATTTCGAATTTGGGTTCCTCATGACATTGGCTGACATTGACGTGTGAAAAAGTCGTGGGTCCTCATCCCCGTTACGAAAGTTATTCATCTTGGCTAAAATTGACATGTGTGGGCGCTGTGGTGAGAAGTGGTATGGGAGTGATTCTTCCTTGTGGTTTCATACGGGGAGAGATTCAGAGTTGCCTGGAAGTGACCGGGAGCGATTTCTCCCTCGTGAATTTACAGGGGGAGAGATTTTATCCTGAATTGGTTATATACTATTAACATTAGCAGGAAGAACCCCAGAAATCTCTCCCGCCAAGCCAGGCCGAAGACTGCCGTGCTAGGAGTCTACGGGGGGAAGGGGGGGCCACCCGGAGACGCCCTAGTCGTCAGTGCTCAAGATGAATAACTTTCGCAACGGGTAAGTAGAAGAGGAAAGGGACGAGGGGGACAGGACGCAACAAAACGCAGAGACGACAAAGCGGCGGGCCGAGAAGAGAAATGGAGGTGGCATGGAGACGAGGGTATATGATGCAAAGAAACAAGCGGCCGCGATAACGAAAAACACTGACAGCTCAGGAAGGATGAGATCGGATCGCCGAGGTCGGTCGGCGGGCCTGGAAGCAGCAGAAGCATCTCACCCAGGGCAAGGGTGTGACCTCGCAAAGCCGCTCCAACACATCGGCACCACCACGGAAGCGAACAAGACACTACAAGGTACTGAATATGCGCGTCCGTGTCGCCTGGTGGCCGAGTTCTCTGATGGATTTCAGCTCAGACGCAATGCAATGCAACGCGTCACGTGGCAGCGCCGTGGGAGCCGAGCGAAAGCATGATGCCATGACGGCCACGATGACGAGGGCCAGGGAGGCGAACAAACTACTATCCTATCCTCCTCCTCCCTCCTCCCTCGATTCTCCCTTCCCATTCCTCCCTCCTCCTCCCCTCCGCCCGCCCCTCCCTCCTCACTGCAATGCAATGCACTACTCCTCCCTCCTCCCTCCCCCTCCTCCTCCTCCTCCTCCTCCTCCTCCTCCTCCTCCTCCTCCTCCTCCTCCTCCTCCTCCTCCTCCCTCCTCCCCCCTCTCCACCACCTCGGCGCGGCATCTCGGAACCTAGAGTTGCGAGGATGTCTCAAGCGAGACGTGCCCGACCACCTCGTGCGCATTTTCTGAGAGCCTAGAGTTGCGAGGATGTTTCAGGCGAAATGAGCTGGACCACCTCGCGCACATCTTCTAGTAGCCAGGGGTGGCGAAGATATGTCAGGCGAAACGGGCTGGACCACCTCGCGCGCAGCATCTCGGAGCCCCGAATTGCGAGGATCTCTCAAGTGAACCTCCCCGCCCTCTCCTTCTACGCCTCGCGCCATCTATATTTCCCGGGTTCGGCGCGTCCCGCGGCTCCCGGGTTCGTGTTTCGGTTTCCGTGGGTCGGGCTTTTTCGTTCTAGGGTTCGCGCCCCCGTTTCCCGGGCTGAGCTCGTTTCCCCAAGTCGAGGTTTTTCCGTCCGTTTGGGCCCCCGAAGGACCCGCCATCTTGAGCCAAAACGGCGACGGGGGAGGAGGAGGAGGAGGAGGAGGAGGAGGAGGAGGAGGAGGAGGAGGAGGAGGAGGAGGACCAGTGGAAACGCAGAGTCATCAACGATGTTGGAGTTAACCCTCCCTCCAAGCTCCCTCTTCACAGGCCCCTACAACGGTTCATTTCCATTGAGGGAACTGCCTCGTTGGAAGACAACAGCTTGAAGATCCTGAAAGATGCCAAAACATTGTTCTCGGGATTTCAACGCCACGTATCAACCTGACTGCTGCGACTTGACGATCCAGAATCGTGCCATAACGCCATGTGCGGAATTTTCACCACAGCGAATCAACACAACTGTTGCCTCGGCATAATCCTGATCCCTTCCAGAACACCGTTTTTCTGGTACGTTGATCATGGGGGGAGTCCGAAAAACGAATATGCGTGGCGCTAAAGCGAGAAACACATGTTGCAAACGACCCGCCCTCAATCCGTGAAACTCTTGCACATGCTTAAAACCAATGTGCGCGGCACTACAGCGAGAACCACATGTTGAAAACCACCCGCCCTCAATCCGCGAAACTTTTGCAAATGTTTGAAACAAATGTGCGCGGCGCTAAGGCGAGGGCAAAATGTTAAAAACCACCCGCCCTCAATCCGTGAAACTCTTGCAACAGAAAAAAACGAATGTGCGCGGCGCTAAGGCGAGAGTCACATTTTGAAAACCACCCGCCCTCAATCCGTGAAACCCTTGCAAAGTGAAAGAAGGAATGCGCGCGGCGCTAAAGCGAGAACCACATGTTGAAAACCACCCGCCTTCAATCCGTGAAGCTCTTGCAAATGTAAGCAACGAATGCGGGCGGCGCTAAGGCAAGAACCGCATTTTGAAAACCACCCGCCCTCTATCCGTGAAGCTCTTGCAAATGTTAAAAACGAGTGTGCGCGGCGCTAAAGCGAGAACCTCATTTTGAAAACCACCCGCCTTCAATCCGTGAAACTCTTGCATTTTTAAACAAAGAACTAATGTGCGCGGCGTTAAGGCGAAAACCGCATTTTGAAAACCACCCGCCTTCAATCCGTGAAACTCTTGCTTGTTTATAACAAGAAAAGAAGAAAAAACACGACTGTGCGCGGCGCTAAGGCGAGAACCACATTTTGAAAACCACCCGCCCTCAATCCGTGAAACTTCGCATTTTTTTTAACAATGTGCTCGGCGCTAAGGCGAGCGCCACATATTGAACACGACCCGCCCTCCATCTGTGAAGCTGGTGTCACTTTTAAAGCTTCAGAGTCATAGATGGTAAAGAGGCCTCAAGCGAAACGCCCGGCCCGCCCTAAAAACTGGCCTCGGGGTGCGACAGGGAGAACTTGTTTACAAGGAGAAGGAAAAGAGGATGAGGAGGAGGAGGGGGAGGAGGAGAGGGAGGAGGAGAGGGAGGAGGAGGAGGAGGAGGAGGAGGAGGAGGAGGAGGGGGAGGAGGAGAGGGAGGAGGAGGAGGAGGAGGAGGAAGGAGGAGGAGGAGGCGGAGGAGGAGGAGGAGCCTCTGCGATAGGAGCCGCGGAGTCTGCGGCCCCCACTGGCGGCAGGGGCGCGGGCGCGGGCTTCTCACTGAGCCGTGGCGGTGGCCGCGCCGTAGCTCTCCACGTCGCCCTTCGCGCCCTGCAGGATGGGCCCCGCGGCGAGAACGTCGAGCGCCCCGAGGCCTTTGAAGGGGCCCTGGGGCACACAAATAAAGGCACACACATAAAACATATTCCCCATACTTCCCCATGTTTTCTGGGTTTCTGTCTTCCCCCCCCCCCACTGCCCCTATTTTCCCATATTTTCTGGGGAATCGACGATTCATTGTGTCTGTGTGTTTTTCCCCTCCTGGGCCTTTCTCGGGCACCTCCCTGAGGCCGCGGATGGACAGCCCGGCCGAGGTCAGCAGCACGAAGCAGGTGACGAACACGGAGGTCATCGAGATGTTGCCGAGGAGGACGGCCAGCACGATCGCGTTCATGGGCACGCGGTAGATGTTGTAGACGGTGCTGCGGATGCTCTCCGGCACGGCCTGGCCCTTGATGGTGGAGACAGAGGGGAAGTAGAGCCCGCAGCAGAACTCGAAGAGGATGAAGCCCGAGTAGATCAGCTCCATGGTCGTCACGCTCAGGCTCATCATGAACGCGCAGCCGGCGACGAGGAACGCAGCGGCTCCGAGGAAGAACGCCCACTGCGCCAGCTGAGTGGCCGACGCTCCCCTGCCCCGGAGGATGTCGAAGGTGGACGAGCCGCACATGTACGCCATCATGAAGCTCGCGAAGACCATGCCAAAGGCGGGCGTGGACAGCGAGTTGCTCAGCGCCGGGGTCCAGTTGAAGACGAATGTGTACATGGACCCCTCGAAGCATGCCACCATCCCCATGATGATCATCAACGTCTTGCTGCTGGCGATGGCCTGGGCGCCGTCCATCACCTGCTTGGCAAGGCCCTCCTGCTCGCTGCTGGGCTGCGAGGCCTCCGAGGTGCCGTAGTTCTCCTCCCAGAGGAAGCTGATGAGCAGCAGGCCGACCACCAGCAAGAGTATGGCGAGGTCGAATGGCGAGCAGAAGCCCCCCACGTGGAAGGCGGTCTCGCCCAGCTTCGTGAGGCCGCCGAACCCCACGGTGACGTCGCCCAGAATCCCTGCGACGATGGCCACCAGGGAGTTGCCGAACCACATGAGGGCAAAGATGTGCCCGAGTGCGTCCTTGTCGAGCCTTCGCTTCTCGCACGCCTCCGACACGAGCCAGCTCTCGAACCCAGAGAACAGCAGGGAGGTGGCAATGCCGCCGGTGACGCGCCCGACCATGAGGACCCAGTAGTTGGCGAAGTGCTTGGTACAGCAGGAAGCGATGTAGAGCATGCAGTAGAGCTGGCAGCCCCTCTTCCTCCCGATCTTGTCCGCGAAGGAGCCGACAAAAGTTCCGAAAAACATCGAGGAGCCGAAGCCGGCGACAAACAGCTGCGATATCTCGTGGCGGCTGAAGCCGTAGGCGTCGTAGAGCGCGTAGACGTAGGGCCCCTGCAGCCAGTCGCCCGCGACGCACACGTACCAGACGGCAAGGTAGAGCCACTTCAGACGGCGCGCCTCGGCGCCCAGCGCCTTCTCGACCTTTGGCTGCGACAGCCACGCCAGCACGATCGTGATCAGCAACAGGAGGTAGAACAGGGTCGCGTACGGCACGCCCATCGGGTCCTCCTTGTTGAACTTGAACGGGTTTGTCGTCATTGCCTCCGGCGAGCCTGCGCTGGCGGCGGGATGGGGGCGGTCGCGGTGAGGTTCTGTTTCCGGTATGGAGAAATCGGGTATGCTCGGTCTGCGGGGGCCGAGTCAAGAGAGACCAGAGCCAGGAGCACTTGAGCCCAAATGGCCGCGGAAGGAGGAGGAGGAGGAGCCTGGATTCTCATTCTCCTTCGCCCTCTCTCCCATCCTCGGCCTCCCCTCCCCCTCCTCATCTCTTTCGCTCTCCCCCTCACCTGCAGCTCCCCCACGCCGCCATCCGCTCTTCCCCGAGAACAGACGACACCGGCATCCAGCAATCATCCTCTCACCCCTCCAGCCTCCAGCCTAATCATAGCTTCTGGACCCCCCTCCGAAATAAACAAAGCATCCCCCTGTTGTTTGCCTTCTAGTAAGATATGGCCCAAGGGGAGTAGCTTGTGAAAGACTAGCCCCAGAAATTCCCCACGGGCATCCCAGGAGAAAGATGAGACGTGAAAGGATTGCGAGGAATAAGGAGGAGGAGGAGGAGGAGGAGGAGGAGGAGGAGGAGGAGGAGGAGGAGGAGGAGGAGGAGGAGGAGGAGTGAGGACGAGGAGGACGAGGAGGAGGAGGAGGAGGAGGAGTGGGAGGAGGAGGAGGAGGAGGAGGAGGAGGAGGAGGAGGAGGAGGTGTGAGTTGAATGACGATGAGGAGGAAGCGAAGGACGACGACGACGAAAAGAAGGAGAACGGCGAGGAGCGGGTGACGAGGACGAGGAGGAGGAGGAGGAGGAGGAGGCGGAGGAGGAGGAGGAGGATGGGGGGAGGAGGAGGAGGACGAGGAGGAGGAGGAGGAGGAGGAGGAGGAGGAGGGGCAGGAGGGAAAGCATACGGGGGAAGAGGGACTGCTGCCAGGTCCGCCACAGCTTCGCCCAGCAATTCCCCCCCCGTCGGCCTGCCAGGAGGAGCGCGAGCAGGGGCGCTGGGAACATCGCTTGGCGACGTCGGTTTTCTTTGGGGCTCCGCGCGAGGGGGGGGGCGGTGGCCGCTGGCTTGCACGCCTGAGCCTGAACGGTTCCAGCGAGAATGCAGGAGGAGGAGGATGAGGAGGCTCTGGTGGAGGAGGAGGAGGAGGAGGAGGAGGAGGAGGAGGAGGAGGAGGAGGAGCAGGAGGAGAAGGAGGGGGAGGAGAAGGGGGATGATCAGGAGGAGGAGGAGTAGGAGGAGGAGGAGGAGGATTGAGGAGGAGGAGGAGGAGGAGGAGAGGTGGAGGAGGAGGAAGACGAGGAGGAGGAGGAGGGAGGAGGAGGAGGAGGAGGAGGAGGAGGAGGAGGAGGAGGAGGAGGAGGAGGGGGGGGGGAGTAGAGGGAGGGGAGGAGAGGAGGAGGAGGAGGAGGAGGAGGAGGAGGAGGAGGAGGAGGAGGAGCAGCAGCAGCAGCAGCAGCAGGAACAGGACCATCAGGAGGAGGAGGAGGAGGGGAGGAGGAGGAGGAGGAGGAGGAGGAGGAGGAGGAGGAGGGAGGAGGAGGGAGGAGGAGGAGGAGGAGAAGGAGGAGGAGGAGGGAGGAGGAGGAAGAGGAGAAGGAGGAGGAGGAGACGAGGAGGAAGGAGGAGGAGGAGGAGGAGGAGGGGAGGGGGCAGGAGGAGGAGGAGGAGGAGGAGGAGGAGGAGGAGGGAGGAGGAGGAGGAGGAGGAGGAGGGGAGGGGGGGGATGATCAGGAAAAGCAGGAGGGAGGACGAAGAAGAGCATGAGAAGGATAAGGAAGGCGGATGAGGATGAGGAGAGGGTGCAGGAGGGAAGAGAAGACAGAGGAGGCTAAGATGGATGAGGCGACGGACGCGGCGGCGGCCAACCAAAAAGGAAGAAGAGCATAATAACGAGGAAGAGGAGGGAGGAAAGGAGGGAGTAGAGTGAAGAGGAACAACAGGTGCAAGAGTGATTATGAGGAGGGAGGAGGAGGGAGGAGGGTGAAGAGGAGGAGACGGAGGAGGAGGAGGTGGTGGTGGTGGTGGTGGTGCTCAGTTGGGGGCCATCAGTCTGTCATCCTGCAGCTGAGCGAGGCCCCTCCGTTGAATATGGAGGCTGGGCCGCCTGCAAAAGCAGCAGGCCGCCACGGCATGAGGCGACGCGGCGGTGCAAAGACTGCGCGCGATGCCCCGTCGGCGAGGAAGATCCCGCGGGGGATATGAAGATGTGGAGGGAGGAGACAAAGCCTCTAGGCTATCCCTAGCTGGCTAGGGGGTGCCTTGGGGCTGAGCCTCCTCCCCCCTATAGTGCGATATCGGGAGCGGCGCCTGCTGCCTCTCTGGGAGGCGCGCCGTTGCCGCCAGGGGCGGCATCTCGTCTAATATTGTCAAACTGAAGCGTATTCTGCAGTGAGCTGCGATACTCTTTCACCTGCTGCAAGAGTCTGCTAGCATGCTCACTGCCACCTGCTACCATGCTTCGAAGCGTCTGCTGCCGCCTCGGGTCGTGTGCAATATCTACAATCACTTGACCGTACCTACTTCTCAGCTCCTCTTCAGCGTTCCCTGTTTGATCAGCTGCTTCAGCTGAGCCTCTACTACCCTCTCCAACTCTGTCTTCGGCCCCGCTCCCATTGGCATCACACCTTTCTGCAGGAACCACGCGTGATTCAGCGCCTCTCGAAGCAGCGCTGGCTGAAATTGGCGCACCTGTGCGATGACCTCCGAGGACGCCTCCGCCAAGCGCAGCGCCGTCTTGAAGTCGACCAGCGGCCTGATGCCGAACATGACCTTGTACATCTCCTCCAGGTCCGACTCGCGCTGGTAGGCCTTCTTGATCCTGAACATGCTGAAGGTCGCGTCCACGAGCCTCTGTCCGTGCTCGCCGCTGGCCGCCCCGACCCACTCCTTGAGCAAGAGCTTGCTCTCCGCCTGCCACTTGTCTTGCTCGTCGAGCACCTCCACCGCCTTCTCGACCACCGCCATCGCGATGTGCACATGCGGCGGCCCCTGCCCATGGCCCTTCCCCAACCTCTTCACCGTGTTGTTGTAGTCGAGGCCTGCGTCGGCCCCTGCCGTGACCATTGCCGACGATCCTGGGACCAGCCAGAAGTCGAATATGCCGTTCATCATGTCGCGGTTCTCCTGGCTGTTGCGCAGCACGAGCTTCTGCACGGTGACGAGGGCCTCCCTGATGTCCGTGCTCTCGCCGTCCTTCGACTTGCCGCCCTTTCCTCGAGCTCCACCCTCTTGTCGTGCCTCCTTCTTGTCTCGTTCTAGGCCAGGCTCTCCTCCTGGTGGTGCCCTCTTCACTCTCCACGCCATCCTCGTCCGCACAGTCTCTATCGGCAGCCTCCACCACCGAATGTGGTCCAGGCAGGTGCTATCGGACGTGCTCCTGAAAGCTCTCGAAATTTTGAGCCGAGAAAGCACATACGCGGCAACTCAAGTCATCGGGGACCTGCACATCGTGGCTCCACTTCGAGTGATCTACGAAGCACTTTCCAAACCTCAATGCTGCCCTGCGACCATGGTCCAATGCACCTGCTCTATTCACGAAACAGCTCCTGCACCAGGGGCACTGGTTTGTGATGATAATCTTACTCAATAGAGGTGTCACACCGTGTGCCTCACGACGATGGGCGATAAGGCCTGTTGCACTCAAAAACCTTTTGCCACAGGTCGTTTTTTTCTCCTCCCTCCTCCTCCTTCGTGTGATCACACCAATAGGGTCTGTAGTACTCCTCCATCGCCTGCTCCTCCTCCTCCTCTATATCAGGTGACACCTCCCCGTACCTCTCGACTGCATTCAAGTACGACGGGTCCGTTTGCAGAAACCTGTCGTTCTCTGGGCTCCCTCGTTTCAATATGCTGATATCGTCGCTTCTCGCATGGTACCAGTCGGCGAACTCGGGGTCGACGGAAGCCAAATGATCGAGGTCGGACACGAATTGTTTAGCCCAGGGGGTCGACTCGCTGTGCACTCTGAAGTCTTCGGATAATCTGGGAGCCTGGTCCATCCAAGCTGTGCCAAACACCGCTGCTACCACCGCCTGATGATCATCTGGATACTTCGCCCAGCGGAGGTAATTTCGAATCCTTCGTACTCTCAACTGTGTAGCACATCTAGGTATCTGCCATGCTCTGAAAACAAACTTCGTGGACCTGCACCTCCTCTCCCCCTCCTCCGTCACCCAGCTCATCTCTCCTTTAGATAGCACCCTCAAAAACTTCCCCAGGGTCTGGTCTAGGATGCTGACAAACTTATCAGGGATGACGAAGGCAGATAATCCACTAAGAGCGGCTTCCACTACGAAGGCCTGAAACATCGCCCGTCGTATACATTTAGCTGTGGAGGACGTCCAGAAGCACCCGCATTGACGCCAAGCCTGTCTGGCAGCTTGACTTCTCCTGAGTACCTCGCTCAACATGCCCTGCTCGCTCGGTAAATGCGGACCTAATACACGCATCTCTCGAAGGGCTTGGCCCTTCAGCTCTTTACTGCGTCTCAAGCGGCGTGTAGTCTGGTAGTGTCGAGCCCCCCGTAGATCGAGTAGATGGTTAGTTTTGCTGGGGTTGAGCGTCCACTGCCCTTTGGCCAAGCAACTTTCCAACCTAGATGTGCTGCCGTTCAGTATCTCGGTGACCTTAGCCGCCGATGCCCCCTCCTCAATGACAGTGCTCTTCGTAATGTCGTCCATGAACACACTCAATTGGGTATCAATAGGGGGTAGGTCAGGGTGACGAGGATCTGTGGTAAAGAACCATCTGTGCTCTCCGTGCTCTCTCTCTCCCATCCTCCACTCCTCCACCTCCTTGTTGTATGTATTGATAAAATCCCTGGGAGCTGTAGTAAATCCCATCTGAGTACCTGTGGTGGACCTGATATCTAATGTACCGTCTGACGTCTCCATGGTCATCGTCTGTTGTCTCACCGTCGCAATAGCAAATGGTACGTCCTCGGGGCATGCATGTTCCTCAGCTTGGATCTCAAGACGTTCTCTTTCTGTCGCTGCGAAAGCATTGGTACAATCGTAGTTGCTCACGATGAGACTCTTCTTA